CCCTCGTCACCGAGTTCCAGGTGACAGACAGCCCAGGTAACCTGCGGGCACTGCTGCTTGCTCATACTCTTCATGTTGAGTGTTCCCTCACACGCCTGACGCTTCTCTGTTGCAGAGGCCAAGGAGCAGGTACTGGCCAACCTGGCCAACTTCGCCTACGATCCCAAAAACTACGAGTACCTCCGGCAGCTTCAAGTCCTGGATCTGTTCCTTGATACGCTCACTGAAGACAGTGACACCCTCGTGGAGTTTGCAATTGGTAAGGACCGCACCTGAACACCCTTGTAAAGGGGCTGGCAGGCCAGGGGACGCTGGGCCTGACACTTTGGTTTGGTGGTTAATCTCCTCCCTGGAGAGGCAGATAGTTGTTGTGCTGCAAGAACAGACCTGTGCTGGGCTGATAAGGCTTCATTTAGTGGAGAACGAGTGGAATGGGGCAAGAGGTAGGAGGCAGGTATCTCCCCTTCATCCAAATATAGCTGCTGTGCTTAAAGATGCTTTCTGGAAAGGATTTTTTTTTAATAAGACTGTAAGTAAACACTAGATGAATGACTCCCTCCTACAGAGAAGCAGTCATTAATAACATAAATTGTTGCCCTGTATAATGTACAGGTCTAATGTTATCATTCTACTATTGACAACCAGTCTTCTAGAATACTTCCTTGAATTTTTTTACTAAGTTCTCTGAGAACTGCCTTATAATGATTCATCATGGTCTGAACATAAGCTAAGGGGCCAGATCCTAATTGTGAGTGATTCCGTGAGATGATAATAAATAAATTTGAGGTTTGTGGCTGAGCTACAGCAGGGTACGGCTGCATCTTAAGAGCTTCAAGTACAATCATTCTGTGCCTCTTGGCTAGTACTGTTATCTCTGTTCTCTGTTTTTCTAAAACACCTGCAATAAACTGCTGGCTTGTAGCCTCTGTTAAGGTTAAGTGATACTGGAATTCTTCATTCTGTGAAATACATTATGTCCAGCAGTACAGTGCCCTCTAATGACATACAGGAGGAGGAATGTTCTGGTGGAAAATCTCTGGAAAGAATCAAGAAAACGTTGCCCAGGAAGCCGTTAAGAATTTTCCATCCAAATTTCACAGAAAATCTGCATGCTTATTTCTGTATTAGAAAAAAGGGCTCAGCAGTGAATTTGAATCTCAGTATGAAAAAGATGAGGCTGTGGAGAGAAGTTTGTCTTGCCTGTGTTGGACATTTTCTTTTGTTGTTTCAGGTGGTCTTTGTAACCTCTGCCTGGATAAAACTAACAAAGACTACATCTTGGAGGCAAGTGGGGTAGAGCCCATAATCAACTGCCTCTCCAGCTCCAATGAGGAGACAGTCATGTCAGCAGTCACGACGCTGATGTACCTGACAACGCCGCAGTCGCGCCAGCAGACCACGGCTCTCCCAGTGGTGGAGTGCATGCTTCGCTTCTCTCTCTCAGCCAGCAGAAGGCTAAGCAATCTGGCAACCGTCTTCCTGGAGGATTACTGCACACCGTTGCAAGTGGAAGAGGCCAGGAATCTAAGCAAACACACAGCGGTGGGGATTCCTCTCCCCAAGGACTGAAGCTGTCAGAGCAGCGCAGAGCTGTTGAGGGGGAGACTTCCCTCTGTTTTCCCAGGCCTCCACTTTCTGCTCAGCAGGTCAAGAGTGTGTCAAGAACACCACCGAAGAGGGAAAGTGGTCATCCCAGCACTGGATTTTAGTTAATAAAGAGGACGGTACAGCACTACCATGTCAGTCAGGCCAAGCACACAGCTAAAACTGCAAGCAAATATTTAAAATAACAGGTCATGGCAGTCGGAGAGTAGCTTGTCAAGTGCAGCCCAGCACCCAGTTTGCACAAATAACCCTTCCCAGCAATTAGGGGGGGTTTCTGCCTGGGTTATTGGGCAGCTTATATCCCCTCCAGTTCCTGGCTGGTTTTGCTGCAGCTCTCCTCTTCAGTGTCAACTCAAATGACTTTGATATGTCACATAAACTTTATTCTTCCTGCAGAAGGAAGAAGGTGTTTCCCTGCCCCAGCAGTCTGCATCTTACTGTGTCTCTTTGGTACTGAATATGCCATCCTATCATCAAGGCATAGGGCACCTGGCTAGTAAATCGCTACACAGGGCAGGTTGTAGCTATCATATAAATCAGGAAGTGGAAGGTTGTTTTTCTTTCATTACCACTGGTGAGAAAGGTGAAGATTAAAAAAAGGGCTCGTGGCACTCTGGCTCATGAGAACAGCTGTCTTGTAAAACCTTCTCTTAATAAAACATTAACTTAAACACTGTGTAAACAGTCTTGTATAAGCTCATAAATATTTCTCTACAGCATTTGCAGCCCAGCCTTTGCCCACTCTTACTCATGCACATGGGCCAGAAATTGAAGCCAGCTTGGTCTCCTTTCATTATCAGCCAATGATGCAAAAGGCAACGCAAAAGGCAGGGTGGCTAAATACATAAAATTTAAAAGAGTTTGGCTGCTGAGCACAGTGCTCCCTGACAGACACCCATGCTGTGTCTGCTCAAGTTTCAGAGCTTCACTTCTTCCTCTTTTTTAATCCCCTCCACTCCTAGTCAGCCCAAAACAAACAGGAGTGTGGTTAAAAGCACAGGCGCACAAGGGGAAAAAAAAAAAAAAAAGCAGCACCCAAAACGAAACAACCCACAACTGCTTGTATTTTATAGTTTCTCTTCACCAACAGCAAATACCCAAAACAACTCTAGAGAGATTAACTAAGTGAATGCAGAGCAACCTTCCAGAAACCTGGAGAGGAGTCAGCTCTGCAGCATGGTGAACAAGGGCAGCACATTTCTTACTGTAACTGACGCCCGCGGTGCCCCTGCCCAGGTGATGGTGCTTGCTGCCTCCTGGGAATGGGCTTCCCTGCCAGCGGGTGAGCTGGTTGTTGCCCCGGCAGTGGGAAGAGCACAGCATCCCCTTTTTGCATTACTGCCTGCGCTTGCTTTCCAAGATCGCCTTCCAATCGTCCGCCCAGGACAGCAGCCGCCTGCGCGGTGCCTGCAGCTGGACGTGCCTGTTGTGGCAGCAGGTAAACAGGACGTGCTCCCAGCTCGGGTTCGGCTCTGCGCCTGAGGAGGGCAAGGGAGGAAAGCTGGAGTCAGCTGGGGGGTTTCCTCCCCAGCTAACAGAAAGTGATGCGAATGCTTTTTCAAACCTCTAATGGTATCCTTGTCATCAAACAGCAAGTCAGCAGATACGACGGTCTTATCTCTGGTTAGAATAATCCGCTCCACAAACTCGGGTCCCAAATGCTTTTCTACCCACTGATACTGCGGAGGCAAGAAATAAGATAGGAGCAAATTCTGCCATACTTTCAGTTTGCACATTGCTCAAGTCAGATCAGCCCTAGTACAGCAATCTTTTCCCCCATAAACCTACATCCCTGCCACAGCGAGTGGCTACGGCCCAAGGACACTGATCTAACCTGCACTTTTAACGGCCTTCAGTCAGCACTGCATTTGCCGTGCCTAATCGTTGTCTGGTTTGCGAGCGGCGCTGGCTGCTTGCCCAGAGCACATGGATTGTGCCTGTTTAAGTCATTCTAGTGATTAAGGTCCCCCCCCCGCTCCGTTCTCGTGCCAGTGGCAAACGGGGCTAATTCCAATGCTACAGCCTCTCTTAACTCAGCATTGGCCTCTTTCAGGATAGCTGGATATCTCACGCTCCAGATTTAGACGGAATAAGGTTTTGTGGGTTGAGGAGCCTCCAGTGTGGAATCCCCTGGGAAAATCCCATCCCTGTGGGCCATGCTGAAAGCCAAGCTTGCCGTGCAGCAACAGTTCCTTTGCTATCACCTGCTGACACAGCTGGAGCCCTAGTGTCACACGCCAGCTCCAAGAGCACAGGGCTCACGTGCCCTGCAGTAAGGCTGGCATCACGTGGCACTCCGAGATTCCCCGTCCTATTACTGTGTCTGGGCAGCTGCCCCTCAGACAGAGGGCTTGCAGGGAAGCCTGGCAGCCTGCACCAGCTACTGTCTTTATAAATTAATGACTCTGACTTGGGCAGTATGAAATAGCAAGGCCTTGCAAAAGCAGCATTAAAACCAGTAAAATAAATTCTCTCCCACCTTCTCCACGATGCAGTGCTCGTATTTCCGGAGAGGACTCGTGCAAATAAAGACTTCGGTGCTGAAAAGAAACAGCCTTCATTAGCAGTCAGGGGAAAGTGCATAAGATAATGGAAAAGGGCTGCAGAGTGCAAAGTATCCTTACTCCTGCATGTGGATCATCTCCTGCATAGCTTCAAGGGCTCCTGGAATTGGATCCAACTCTAGAAAGAAGCCAGGCGATTCATAGACGCTGGCTACCTTAGGCTGCAAGAGACAGGAGGACAATTAGCAGTGCCCGTGCTTTCATCCGAGCTCTGTGCACAACAGTTGTCCAGCTACCCCGTGTGTAACAGCCAAAGGGCCAGCGCTTTACAGCGTGAGGTGATGCTTCACACCGAGAGTGGATTGTAAAGTTTCTCACCTTTAGGGTTCCAGGAAAAATCCAGCTCAGGCACACAAGAATGAGAAGTTACCCTCTGGTGGCTTGTTTGGAGCGAGGAGGCAGAGCTAGTCCTGACCTGGCTTTGCTTCTACAAGCCGCTCCATGAGTAGCACTGCAAACAGCACCGTGCTACAGCTCGACTTGCTGACGTCTGGTAGAGGGAGAGCTCACGCCTCACCCCTTCCCAGCAGGTCTCTCTCTACTAACTCTTGTGAAAAATCAAAGTAACAAGTTTAAGGCTTCTGCTCCTCTGTCACATTTGACTGAAATTTGCTTACGGCTCAGGAATTTACCAGGGATGAGTGGGTAGACACATGTATTACCTAGGAGCCCTCTGTTCCTTTAGAACAAAAAGGGCGATATGGTGACCATGCTGATTACCATCCTCAGTGGAGGGGCCAGGCCAGCACCCCCCCACATTTGGGGTTAATCCTTTTAGACCAGAACAGCTCAGCAAGAGGGAAGGAAGAGGACAGGAGAGCCAGGAAAGCTACATTTCTTTGCTGCTTTCTATGCTTTTCAATCACACGCTAAAATAACAGTTGTTAAAGGAGCAGATCTTGACTTCAGCACAGACAGCTGCTCCTCTGCGGTAACGTGTTGGTGCAAAGTCTACTCAAAAGAGCGTGAGACTGCAGCAGGAAATTGAGAGGTGGATCCCTGTGCTGCCCCAAGAACCTTTGGCTTCGTGAACTGACCTGTGCACCCCCGCGAGCCCCAGCTGGGCTGGGTTTGGTGGTGGTATGCGTGGGTCCCACCTACCGCTCCCCATATCTGACTCAGAGCACACAACCTGAGCGGTGGACTGAGCAGCGCGATTAAGGGGATCACAGCTTTATCCCTTTTCTCTCTGCACCAGCTCTCAGTGGTAAACCCACCTTCCATACACGCATGTGGGATGCAATGAACCAGACAAGTCATTAATGACAAACAGGTGGGAAAGGAGATTCTCGCTAAAGTTATAATCACTTTGAAGTGAGTGTAAGTAGGAAAGAAACAAGATTACGGGAGGAGCAATGTTTTCCCCAGCTGAAGTGGCTGATTTACTCTCTAATAGGAAAAGCAGTATTTCCAGGGCAATTCCTGTGCCTCTAGGTAGGACTGTCCTTCCAGTCCTTTTTTCTTTTTTTAATTTACTGATAAGACATTCTTGCACATTTTACTATTAGGAACTTCACTGATTTGAATCCAACTCTGGTTAGTTAATTTTAAAAATTGCTACCTGGTGACTGTTTAGTGGCCTGTGTTAAATCAGAGCATTTCAGTGCAGGTCACAGCAGACGGCTCCTCTTATCACACAACCCATCACGACAAAGCACCTGCAACAGCAGCAGTATCCCAGCAGCGTAAGGGCTGAGTCCACTTCCAGGCCTAGGTTTCATTCTCAGACAGAGAGGTTAAGCTTCCAATATCTCTTCTACCCTAAGACACATGAATCTCACCTTCCCTGGGGTCATATAGTGAACTTCAGAGGTGCCGAGCTAGCATTTTTCCACAAGCATTAAAGTCTTACGTTCCCATGCCACCGAACAATTTGGGAAAGTTAGTTCTTGGTAGGTATTTATCAAAGGCAGGCTGGCAGCCTTCGCTTAGAAATTGTACAAGATTGCTTTATAGTCCAGCTGATGGTCTCCTTGTTCTGTATCACCAGTGGAACATCAAAATAAAAAACATTTCAATTAAGCAGCAATGAGAAGGAATCAGCATTAAAAACATGTCTCCCAGATCACGGTGCTCACTCAGCTATCATAATTTACAAATACTCATAAACCAACAGCCAGAAATTTGGAAGCACTGCCTGATTTCACATGCAAATCAGGAGGTTAAGGAGTCTAGGTGAAGATGTGGCAATCAGATCTGCCCAGATCTCTGTTTCCATGCAAAGCCTCGCTGATCCCAGCAACAACTCCCTGGAGCTCTTCCCAAGGAGACTGAATTACAGAATCAGGGCTTGTGTCTGAAAGCTCCTTTATCCTACAGCAAGACACCAGAAATTTCTGCCACATCACAAAAAAGTCTGGCTTTGCTGGAAAAACAGATTTGATTTGATGACTCTTGGAA